GGTCTCCGGGGGCCCTCTGAGCAGCGGCAAAAACCAACCGCATACGCTGCGCTGCGGCGGGGCTTGCACGTCGGGGTCTACGGCCTTGCAAATGACAGTTGGATTAAGCGCTCGAATCATGTTTTGGAGGGGCCTCGCCTTGGGGGGCGAATCGGGCGCCGCCTGAGAGCGCCGTCGCCTGGGGCATCGCGCAGCTGGGGCGGCAGTCACCAAGGGCGCGCAGCGTTTCGGTTTCGCGCTCGCCATGAGCAGGATTTCCGGCAAGGCGACGCCCCTTGGCGCCGTTAGTTTGCGCGATGTTCGGGTTTGCTGGATGGCGCCGAAGGGCCTGGGGCGACGGCGCCGGCGGATTTGTGTTGAAGCGGTGGCCCCCGCATCTGAATTTCAGATTGGCCCCATCTGAAATTCGAAATTCAGATTAGGCCTGTCTGAATTTCAGATTGCCCCCCCATGGGGGCTACCCCGAGGCGATTTGCTCGGTGCCGCGCTGTCATTATTCAGATTGGCCCTCTCTGAACTTCAGATAGGGCCCATTTGAATTCCAAGTTGGGCCGTGAAAGAATTCAGATGTGGGGCCGCAGCCTCGGCGCCGAATTCGGCCCAGGTGCCGCTCCTACGAAACCCAGCGTGAGATGGTGAGCACCCAAAAGCTGTCCGCGGAGATGCGGACGAAGGAGGACGAAAGGCACGCGCAAGGCATTCCCCAACTGTCCTGTGATGTTGGGTCCCCGCATTGAAAAAACAGCGTCCCGCGTCTCCCCCCTCGCCCCCCGCCATCTCCCCCCCCCCCCCCCCCCCGCGTCAAGTTCGCCGCGCCTCCCTCGACAATCGCGGCCCCGCAAGCTCCGCCGAAGGCCCCAGTTGTAGGGTCAACCTGCGGGCCCCGCACCCATGTCGGCGCGCCCCCCGCGAGGATCGCGGCCACAAAAGGGGATGCAACGAGGGCCCGCGCGGCAGGGCCCGCGCGCGGGCCCCGCATCCATCCCGGCGCGTCTTCATCGAGGACATAAGGAACTCCACCCAGCAGCGGGGTCCGCGCGTGGGCCCCACATCAGTTCTGGCGCGCTCCTTCATCAGCATCGTCGCCCCACGTGGAACCCCGCCGAAAACCCAAGGCGCGGGGTCCGCACGCGGGCTACGCGCCCACTCCGGCACGCCCTAAGGAACTCCACCGAAGGCCCCAGCGGCAGGGTTAGCACGTGGGCCCCGCGCCATTTTCGGCTCACCCCTCACCAAGATCGCGGCCCCATTGGGAGCTCGACCGAAGGCCCGAGCGACAGCTTCCGCGCGCGGGCTCAGTGCCCCCCCCCCCCCCCCCGCGCGAGGATCGTGGCCCCATGGGGAGCTCCGCCGTGGCGCAAGACCAGCGCGCGCGGGCCGTCGCGCGCGCGGCGGCGCCGTGCTGTTTCGTTGGCCGGGACGCTGAAACGTGGAGGCTTGGCCCATGGATACCACCGGATTTCGCAGAAATGGAAACGACCTGCGGGCGAGAAAAATGGTCGCCCTTCCCTGGCACGGGCTGCAGGAATTCAGCGCGGAACTTGCGGCTCAACTCTAGGCTATCTTCCACGCGGAGGGCCGCGGTGACCTTCTCTGCGCGGCCGCGGAGCGGGGCCCCCTGCATCTTTTGTTTGGCAGGGGGCGCGGGGGGGCAAGGGGGGGGATGGGGGGGGGGCGCGCCGCCCTGCCTCCTCATATCTCCACGTTTTGCCCTTCCTCCCGCGTCTCCCCACTGCCCCCTTTCGCGCTGACCCCCCGCGATCTGCTCGCGCCCCCATTTCGGCCGCGGCGCGGCCGACGCTTCACAGGAACCGCTGCCCCCGACCGCGCGCGTTGCGATCGCGCTGAAACGCCGCGGCCAGGCAAGCGAACGCGCAGTTGCCCTGCCCGCGCGCTTGCGTTTGGGCACCCGCGGTATAATGAAGAGCTGCTCGTTGCAAGATGCGGCCATTCTCGCCTTCGCGCGCTAATCGGCGCCCGCGCGACGTCGCAAACGTGGAAGATTTGGGGGCGTTTGGACGCAGCCCCGCCCGCCCCCCCGCGGGGCCCGCCCCCCTCCGCGAGGGCGCGCGCCCCGCGAAGGCCCCCCTCCGCTCGCGGCGGAGCGGGGGTCGCGAGAGCGACCCCGTGCACTCGCGGAGGGAAGGCGCCCGCCGGTAGACAGGGTTTCGGGGCAATCCCGGAGGCGCGCAGACAAACTCAAGCGGAAGCCCCCTACCGGGGTCGCGCGACGACCCCGCCGCCTCGACCGCGCGGCGATCGGACAAACGAAAGAGGGCAGCGCGCGGCCCCGAAGCGACGCCCGCCCTCCGCGGGGCGCGGGAGCGCCCCCCCGTCGAAGGCTCTTCCCCCGCCCGCGGCGGAGCGGGATGGGCGCGCGACGTGGCGGGCGCCTTCGCGTTTGCGGGGCACCCGCTAGCCGACGGGGGCGCCTCCGCAGGCCGCCCCCCCCCCCCCCTTCCCGGGCCCCTGCAAAGCCGAGAAAGACAAGGCGCGAGGGCGTTGCGACCGCGGGCCGTCTCGCGCGCCCCCCCGCCGGCGCGGCCCCCGTTCCGCGGGTCGCGCGGGGCCGCGCTTCGCGGGTGCAAACACTTGCCCTTGCGCCGCTCGCGCCTCGCGGTCAGCTGGGGAGGCGGCGCGCCGTCGCCTCGTGGCCGCCGGCTGCCCAAGGCTGCGCGGCGGATTTCTTCTCTGCCCGGCGGTGCCCGAGCGCCTCGTCGAGCCCCGCCGCGCCGCGTCGATTTGAGCTCGCCGCGGCGTTCGATCGCGTTTTCAGCGGCCAACCGCTGGCGTTTTGAGCGCTCGCCCCCGCGGCCTCGCAAACAGCCTCTTATCCTGGCCCGTTTAGGTCTTCGGGTCGCCCCTTGCGCTCGAGACGTCGAACACCGGGGGCGGGCCGCCGAGCGCCTCATCGCGGTCCGCCGAGCCGTGGGTGGGCGCGCCCGCGGGCGGGCTGAAGGCGCGGCAATCGCGCGTGCATGTATCGCGGGGGAGGCGCGAGTCTTCGCGGCGCGCGCGGGCACTCCGTTCCTCGAGCTTGTTTGCGGTGAGTATTTTTTTCCGAGAGCGTGGGCACGCGCGTCGCGAACTCATTGCGAGCCTCCGCGTTGCTGGCGTCGACGGCGCCCGCGACCGCGCCGTGCTCCCTCTGCATCAGTCCGCCCAGATCTCGCCCTCATTCACGGTGTGAGTGGTGGGCGCCAGCTTGGCCGTCCTCAGCGCTCCAAGGGTGCCCCCCTGCCTGGGTATGCTGTGGCCGAAGTGGGCATCTCTGACTGGTCATCCCGGCTTTGCCCCTGGGTCTGCTCGATGCGCCAAGTCCGCCCGTCGCTGGCCAGCGCCGCGCAAACTTTCGCAGATATGGAACGCGACGGGAAAATGTCCACGCGAAACTCCACTGCGTCGGCGCCGATCTGAGGCCACCTGTGACAGCCGCTCTTGCGCGCTCACCTCCAGCGGCCGCCTCTTGTGGTGGCGCCCCCTGGCGCGTCCTGTTGCGATGGCACTAGACAGCGCACCCACCCCTTCGGCTTGAGGGTGGCCGTCCATCAATGTGGGCACACGCACACCATATGGTTGTCGCCGCCGAGGGCGGCCGCGAAATCTGCCACATCTCCCGCACGTTCGTCCTTCAGGGGGGCCTCGTAGAACGTTGCCATGCCGACGCGCGAGACCAATGGCCGGTCCCTGTGCTTCACGAGCTCCGCACTCATAGCGAGCCAGCTCGATGGTATGGCCTGCTGCGTCGGCGACTTCCTTGTTCTGTTTGCTCCTCAAGCTGAAAGTCTCGGCCTTCAGGCCGGGGGCACCTGGCATAAGCCAGTAGTCCGCATCGCCGCGCTGCTGGTGACCATGGCACCTGAAGCACATGAGGGATCACAGTCTCGACGGGTCCAGGATTCTGCTAACGAGTGTTCGCGAGAACTCGCCGCCCATAGCTGTGGCAACGTGCTCACGTGCGACTACCGAATCGAGGGTCTGGACGCATGGCGTCTCGCCGTCCTCGACGGCGTGGACGAAGCATGAGGTCACGCCGTATCCGTCCTTGAAGTACTCGCGCGTGGCCGGGCTGTGCGGGATGAGGTGGCCGCCCGTGAATCTGGCCGTACGGTCGGCCTCCCTGACCACAGGCGTATGCTTCGCCTCGGGCGTGATTTTCGTGGCTACGTGCCTCCCGCGGACCTCCTGCCAGTCCTCGCCGACTGGCTCCGAACTCGGCGTGGCTGGGGCCCTGTTCGCCCGACGGCCTGGCTCCCGCCCCGAAGGGTCGTATGGAGCGCTACCAATCCCTCTTGCCGTTCCTGCGCGGCCTTCCGCCTCGGCCCCACATGCCTCCCTCCTACGCGCTGGCATGGCCGGTGCCAGGGAAGCGCTGTCCTCGTACCCGGCGCGGCGCGGCGTCGAGGGCGCAGGCTCAAGGGCCAATCTCAGCGCCCAACCGAAACGGCCGAGCGCCTGAGCCCAAGTGGCCACAAACGTCGGGCAAGGCAGATCATACAATTCCGTGTTGGCACACGGAGGTGTGTCGTATCTTGGGCCCCCAAGGGGCACCCAATAAACCGTTTCCTCTCCTCGTCCTCCCTCCCCCACCCGCACGTCGAAATGTTGTCCTTCCCTCCTTGTCCATTGTCATCCCTCATCTTGCCTGAACTCTTCTCCTGCTTCTTCCTCCTCCTCCCCCTCCGCCTCCTCCTCCGCATCCCCCCTTCTCCTCCTCCAGTGCTCCAAGATGTCGTCCGTCGGCCGTTCTCCAGTGCCCCCCCTCGCATGAACGGATGCCCTCCCACATGTATAAGCAACTGCAGATAACATTGTTCCACACAGCTAACAGCACCTCGTCAACGTCCTCATGATTGAATTACTCCCCCCCCACTGCCCCCCATCTTCCCTCACGCTGCCCGTTCCTCCTGCTTCCTTCACTTTCCCTCCACGTCCTCCTCCCGAGACCTCGCACGAAGAGTTGGAGGTTTCGGGCCTGCTATTGAGAATAATCTCATCACGGTATCGAAGGTAACACACTTCCGACGTGCAAAATCTGTCGTGTCAGCGCCGCCTATTTTGTCCTCGTCAGAAGTGCGTCGGCCTGCCCGCCTGGAAGAAGTGGATGCGGTCCTCCGGAGGGGCGCCCGCTACGCCGTGAGCGCGGAAGGAACTTTAAGAGAAAGAGGACCAGAGGTCGGAGGAGGCCCTGAGCACTAGGAGGAGGAGGAAGAAACCAGGACAACGCCCAGCAGCAAGGCGTAGGAGGTACAGCAGCAGCAGCAGTGGCACGTCGACGCGAACACGAGTGAGGGCTGGCCAGAACGCCCAACAGAACAACTTCAAGCGCCCAGAACGCCTGCGAAACATCGAACGATCATCGCCTCCCAAGGCACGACACGTGAAGGTGTTCCCAGGGGCGTCTCCTTTCACGGTCCTCCAATCTAGTTACCTTCTCGGTGCTCGAAATTCTTCAGGTGGTCAAGACTGAACTAGGTTTGGCCATCATAAATCTGGCACAGGGGCTTTCGGGCTCCTTGGAGCTTTCCATCAGCTGAGTTTCGTCGAGGTCTTTCAAGATTGGGGTTAGGTCGGGCCTGTCCCCCTACAGGGAGATTTTGGACGAAAAATGAAACACACTCCAAACATATCCAAAAATGGTAAAACAAAAAAAAAAAAAATAAATCTTCCCCAAACTATATGTTTTATTATTTTCGGGTATTCCTTCTGTACAGGGACAGGCCCGACTTAAAATTGGGAGGGGGGGGAGAGGGGGGGGGGGGCGACATCGTTCCGAGACACGCCACCCCGAACCCGGGGCAACCCGAAAGAGGAAAGCGAGGGCAAGGATCAGAAGGAGGGATGCACCACGAAGCGAGGACAAGGTTGTGGATGCCACGACAATGGACACCCTAACAGTCCTATCATTGAATTCTAAATGTGCTTAAAATGTGGTAGAAATGTTCTAAACATGTTTGAGGCATGTTTAACACATGTTTAACACATGATTCAGACATCTGGGAATTACTTGGCAACACGCTTCCTCTCCATTGATCCTCCGCCACAAGGACACGGTTAAAATCGGGTGAGGATAAATCGAACATCTCTGACATCTGGAAACTCTGGAGGATGTCTCGGGCACCGCGGCCATCTCAGACTCGTCCTAGCCCCGTCTGGTTATGCCTGGTGGGCTGGGGAAGCGCGGAGGTTGGGAGGCTACTCCTGGGAGGCTTCCGCCCGAACAGTTCAGGGCTAATACACCTGATTCGAGGGCCACTCAGCAGGATCGGGCCAGATTCGGCCCGGGAATAAGCCCGATCAAGCGGGATTAAACAAAGATCTAGCGAGATCAAGCCAGATTAAGTGGGACTGAACCGGAACAGGCCAGTTTCTGGCGAGCGACACACCAGCGCCGATGCAGAACTTAACCTCCCAGGAGTTGCATGCTCACATTCCCATTCGTCTGCCGCCCCTGTGCGAGCCTCCTCTCCCTCCCTCCCTCTGGGCTGTTGGGTCTCCCGAGAAACAACGGGGGGGTCCGGAAATGGCGTCGCAAGGCGCGTGTGCCCACATTCGCGGTAAGGGCACGGGCGTCGGGCTCCCAGGCCCTACTCCTCCGCTGTGTCATGTATGTTGTGCCGTTGTGCTGGCCAACTTGGGCCCCGCATAGATTACACCGTGGAGGTGGAAGTTTTGCCTTGGAAACTACGTGGCGGAATCTTTACCGTCATGTGGTGTGAGATGCGTTACGCGAGATATGAGGTTAAAGCAATGTGGCGTGGGGCGTGAAAGTGCAAGTTACGAAGTTTAGTGTGTGGCGTCAGCCATGTTGTGTAAGCGTTGCGCTGCTACAGGTATTCATATTCACACATACACATACTCATGTACTTACTCACACATATATATATACAGTTATATATATACATATACTCATGCGCGTTCACACATATAATATGTGTATACATGTGTATGTGTACGGATGTATGTATGTATGTATGTGCATATATAGTGGTCGACCTACCTATCTACCTACCTACCTACATACACACATATATATGTATATACATACATACATACATACATACATGCATACATACATACACACACAAACATACATACATACATACATACATACATACATACATACATACATACATGCATGCATGCATGCATGCATGCATGCATGCATACATACATACATGTATACATGTATACATACATATACATATATATATATGTATATATATATGACGGCCCCGTCCAGGAGCACAAGGCTGCGAAGTTGTGTGCGGTCAGCTGTCCTGTGTTATGGTTTGTCATTTGTTGTATGGCCTTTTGTCTCTCCAATCCTGTTTCCTACCTCCTGTTTACTGTCTGCCAGGGGGCCCCGCAGCGCCACCAAACAGCCAATGGGGGGGGAACCTCAAATCCTGGCTGCTCCAGGCCACCCCAGGATTTCTCATGATAACGCCGCCGCGCGGCCAGAACGTCCGAGAGGCCTCCAATCTTGCCCGAAGAGGCTCCGACAAGAGCCTCAGGAGGACAAGACGGCCCACAAAAAACACCCACAATGTCCCACGATGGCCCCTAGACGGCCCGAGATGCTCTCAAAACGGCCCAAGTGGCCTCCAAGAGGCCTTCCGCCCCACGAAGCGAAACCAACGATTTTCCTTGACATACGCTCCGAGACAGACCCAGAGGTTCCAAAGATCGCCCCACGACGGCCCTAGAAGCCCCCATGACGGCCCAAGAGACCCCCAAGACGGCCCCAAAACTGTCCAAGTGGGGCCCCAGACGGCCCAAAAGGGCCCTTATGGTCCCAAGAGTGGCCCAAAAGGAAACCGAAAACTCGACCTTTCCGCACCGAGAGGGTCCCAGGAGGCCCCAAGAAGGTCCTAAGAGGCCCCAAGAGACCACCAAGGGGGCCCCAACGAGACCCCCCAAAGACACGAAGACCCCCGCGCAGCCGCCCGCTCTAGTAATAGGGGGGCTGGCGGCAGAGGGCGAAGCCCTTCAGCTCTACTTATGTATGTATATATATATAGTATAACGTATGCGGTGAGAGCCATGCTGTGTACGCTACGTGGTGCAAGCGATGTGGTGCAAGCTCTATGGTATAAACAATGTGACATAAGCTACTGGTCGCGTACGAGGCGGCACGGGCGGATCGGCGCCGGACACCCCCTCCCTGGCGCGCGCCAGAGGCGGCGCCAGAAGCGCCGCCAGGGGGCTCCAGCGCCGATCGGAGAAAGCCGCGCGGACCTTATCATAGAGCATGTGACTCACTGCCTTGCTGCTTCTGCTCACTGCTGCTGCAGCTCACTGCTGCTGCTGCCGATCGCTTCTGCCTGCTGCCTGCTTTACGTTACTGCCGCTGCTGGGTGCTGACTGCTGCTGCTGCTGGATGTTCTTCTCCGCCGCAGCGAGCCTAGAACCAGAGAGCATCCAAGTTGAAAAATGAACATTCTAAAATGGAGGCCTCCCAGACAGGGTCCAAATAGATAGGGTCAGAGGATCGCACCACATCGCCGATGCATCGCTGATGCATCGGCGATGCACCAGCGACGTCGGCGGTGCATCGGCGACGCCAGCGTGGAGAAGATTTGGCTCCGCATCGGGCCGCATCGCCGATGCATCGGCGATATGGCGCGATCCTCGGACTCCATCTACTCCGACGCCACCTAGGAGGCCCAGATAAAATCACGTCAGACAATTCGATGTATTCCTACAACGGCAGTCCGAGGGCAGGCCTCAACGACATGCCACTGCTTGGGCTGCCCTCCCGTGCACGGAGCGGTGACGAGGCTCGACCTGGTCAATCCGCACCGACACCACGGCTCGAGCCAACCCACAACAAAAAGACTATTGCGCCACCGGAGCCGTGGCAGCAAGCCCGTGCTGGCACAGCACTGCCAGCTGATGAGAACCATGCTAGGGGGCCACATGCGAACCCTACCTCTACCCCCCCACGATTTCTGAGGGGGAGGGGGGGTTCACTTCGTTCGCGAGCTTCAGAGCGAAGTGAGCCCCACCCACCCCTCAGAAATCGTTGGGGGTTAGGGTAGGGTTCGCATGTGGCCCCCTACATGCCGCTCAGGCTGCTGGCGGAGCGTCTCGGGTAACTCTGCGAAGCTGTCGGGGTCTCCTGGTTTATCGTGGGTCCCATCGGCGGGAGCAGGGAGGAGCCAGGAGATGACGAGTGCGAGGACGAGGGGGGGGGGAAGCAAAGAAGGGAGAAGATGATCCTCCAGTAAGCCCCGGCGGCGCCAGCGGTCGGAGGAGGGAGAGATTTAGGCCGAAGGAGGGGGGCCCGAGCAGGGAGCTAGCAAAGAACGCACGTGCCCAGATAGGGTACACGCCGATGTGAGCCCGGCTCGTGAGGCCGCGCTCGTGCTACGAACGCTCGCGTGATGCAGCTGCGTACACGCGCGGCAAGTTCGCGGCGTGACGACCCCTGCGGTGGTTTATGGCACCCCGCGATCCCCTTCGGCGCGTGGCTGAAACTGCTGAGACAGCCGTGGCTGCTTACTTCGCGCTGGCAAGCCGGCGCAATTCTGCTGCCGCTCGTGAGTCGGGGGCTCCGCCTACACCACGCTCAAAATACAGCGCCAAATTGCCCATCGCGCCTCGATGACCGCGATCCGCGGCCATCTGCAACCACTTCCGTGCCGAAACGTGATCGCCAGCCTGTGCTCCGAGAACGGCGAGCTGGTTCATCGCGCCCGGGTGGCCCTGGCCAGCAGCCTTGTCATACCAGGTCCGCGCCTCAGCGAGATCGCCCGCAGCCTGCGCACGACGACCCAGATCCATCTCTGCGTCCGCCCAGCCCTGCTCCGCCGCGGCCCTCAGCAGCGCATCTCCGGCCACCACGTCCCCAGCTTCGAAGTGCACTCTCGACATACGGTGCTGTCCTCCGGGGTGCTGCTGAGCTGCAGCAGCAGCATACAAAGAGGTCGCTGAGCCCTGAGCGGCTGTTGCCAAACTCTCGGAGCTCTGGCTCAAGATGTCACCCAGGGTTATCTGCGCATCTGCGTGGCCATGCTGTGCTGCAGCGCTCAGCCAGTGCATCGGCGAGGATACGTCGTGGGAAGAGCGGAGCCTCCAAAGGGAAAACATGGAAGCTGCATGTCCGC